TCTTGAGCATGCTATTCCTAATCTTATGTTCAACTTTAAAGTTTAAAACAAAAGAAAGCATTGTTTTAAATATCCCTGACATAGCCCAATACATCCTTTTACAAAGTTTGTCACAAAACAATATGGTCTAAATATCCTTTATCATTTTTTGACAATTTTGGGCAATTATTATCCCGACACGGTTGATATTTTAGCCGATATGTTGGCAGACATGACGTTTTCTATAGCTTGTTGTAAAACAATATGCCACTTTTACCAACTTTCAAGTGACATAACATGATCTTCCCAATATACCACGTGAACCTAAAAAAAGAAAAAGAAAAATGGACGAAGTGTTGCAATATCAAGTTAGACTTCTATTTGTTTGAAGAAGTTGATTACTGGTTAATACATATCTGAATATGGGAAAAAGATCTGATGTGATTGGATAAGGATTTGATTTTTCTTTTAGGAGATATCCTTAGTTAGAGTTGAGTTTGCTATTCAGTTAGGAATGAATATCTTATTTTGTTATGATGAGCGATTTGATGCTATCTATTAGTTAGGATTAAGATTTTGTTTTAGTTCTATACATAATGATTGTACTCTTTCATTTTAGGAAGAGGAGAGAAGAATGTTTGTGAGAAATTTGTATGCGAATGCAGCTAGCATTATGCATGTGAGGTATCTGGGTGTGAAGCCCATCATTTGTATCTTTTTGTCTTAAATGAAGAGTGCAATTTCGGTTAATTCCATATTTATTATCTATTTATTTTTATCCAAATAATCAATCTCAACAGATTGCTAATGTTTCCGTTCTTTATCAGTGATCCTAAACATATATATTATTTACATTTTTATGCTAGAGTTCCTTAACTATATTTATATTACACTTAGGACATTATATTATATATTCCCATCTTTCAATATTTTCCTTATATCCATTGTCCGATATGAATTTGGTCATCCAATATTTCTCTAATATCCGATAATTAAAATCTTGAAAGAAGAAATTGTAACTTACACTGTCCTGATCCACTTCTTGCATCATCTCTTCTATCCGTACATCTCCAACACCAAACTCATCACAAGCCTGTTGGAGCTCGTCTGCTGTGATGAAGCCACTTCCATCTCTGTCGAAATATGAGAAGGCTGCACACAAGTGGTCCTCCCTGTTTATCTTGTTCAGATGTAAAGTGGCAGCTATGAACTCTCCATAGTCTATGGTGCCACTATTATCCACATCAGCCTGTAAGTTTTAGTGTGAAACATGAGAGCATGAAATGATAAGGAATTTGCAAAAATATTTCATACATAAATCCAACATTAGAAATCGGTGAAGGTACGTATATGACGTATATTTAGCTTGATCGCATTTTTCAAAACATAACATCTCATTAAATTTGATAAAACACGAGTACATGATTTGTACTATTTCTAAAAGAGAATACTCATGTCAAAACTATTGATTTCCTATTTTGCCCTCTCAATTTTTTGACAACTTGAAATTATACTATTAAGTATAATTAAACTTTAACTAATTATGCAAAGCATCTTATTACTTATGGACCTCCTCACTTTTTCATATATTTAGGCATTCATTAAAATTAAATTAATCAAAATACTTTATAATGATTAGAAAATTGATAAAATATGTTATAATATATATAAACAATTGTTAATCATTATAAAATAGTATAAAATTATAATTATAATAAAATCTTTTATAAAATAGCTATAAATAATTTATTAAATATTATATTATTAAATTGTTAAACGCCAATGTATAGACCATTAACTATAATTAAACTTTGACAAATTATCCAAAACATCTTACTAATTATGGGCCTCATCAATTTCCTAAATTATATTTAGGCACTCATTAAAATGTAACTAATAGAAATACTTTATAATGATAAGAAAATCTATGAAATATGTTATAATTTTATGTAAATAATTGTTAATCATAATAAAATAGTATAAAATAATCAGTGTAATAAAATATTTTATAAAATAACTATAAATAATTTATTAATAATATTTTTATTAAATTGTTAAATGCCTATTTATAAATTATAATAAAATAATATTATAAATAAAATAATACACTATGACAAATTATCCAAAACATCTTACTAATTATGGGCCTCATCAATTTCCTAAATTATATTTAGGCACTCATTAAAATGTAACTAATAGAAATACTTTATAATGATAAGAAAATCTATGAAATATGTTATAATTTTATGTAAATAATTGTTAATCATAATAAAATAGTATAAAATAATCAGTGTAATAAAATATTTTATAAAATAACTATAAATAATTTATTAATAATATTTTTATTAAATTGTTAAATGCCTATTTATAAATTATAATAAAATAATATTATAAATAAAATATTACGCTATTAAACATTCTTAAAAAATATTAGTCAATAAATAAAAAATTGTCTAAATATTTAATAGTAAAATAATATAACTATTTTAATATTATAACTACGAACATTATACTGAATAGTAGTATTATAATTATACTATATACATATTATCAATAAGAATAGTTATAACTAGCATAAAATTTATTATAATTATTCTACATTATAGTTTAAAAATTATAATTATATATTATAATATTAAATAATTTTTCAATTTGTTATTAAAAATCTAAATAAATTATGATTAAACTATAATAATTATCCAAAGTATAAAAATTACTCATGCAATTCTTTATACACAACTTTATTTATTAATGTGAGAATTTATATTTTTACAAAAGTCACTTCATAATTTTGCATCGAAAAAAAAAGAATTAAAAAATACTATGTCCATGTGCAATGCCTCTGCATTATACTAGTATTTGGTAAAACATGATACAAGAGTCTGAAGGAAGATGTGTATAATGCCCTCTCCAGTACACCCAAAAAAAAAACCAACAAAAAAAAACCCTGGAAAATGCACTTTTAATGAGGTCCTATGGAGTTTGAGGTAGGGTTGTCAGATTCCATCATAAAGTCCCTTCCACTCAACAAAACCCTGAAGTTGTGCTAAAGGTTGAATGTTATCATTTTTTATTCTATCAGTATATGCAGGTGTTCACAATGCATAGCAATCAAATGATGGTAAATACAAGTTGACCAGTCAAAAATATAAATACCTCTTGTAGTTGAGCAGATATAAAAACTTAGAAAGATTTTTTTCGTACTATATCATAGAATGATTTCTTTCCTAAAGTATCGCCTCAATGCATTAATGAATGGGAGGAATTTGATGAAAAGAGAACTGGAGAAACCCAGTAAAAAATCTTGGCATAAAGGTTTTCTCATTGTGGGTCAAATTATAATATCTATGTGCTTATAATCAACCATCTTCATCCTTTACACCTTGCAGAATGTACTTCCTACCACTTAGGAAGATAGTCTGAAGAATGCATCTTCATCCTTTCTCTTGGCAGAATATACTTCCTACCAACTAGGAAGATAGTCTGAAGATTGCATCTTTTATCTTCTTTCTTTAGGTTCAAAGAATGTTGGTTGACTTAGATTATTGAATATTTGTATGATGATTCACATGGCATGTCTGCCTTCTAAAGATAAGCTTTAAACGTATAACCTACCGCTTGCATTAAAGCAGAAATTTCTGATTCCTTCATGTTAGCACCAACTCTTCCTAATCCAGCCTTGAGTTCTTCAAAAGTGATCTGTCCGCTGTTGTCCGTGTCTATCATCTTGAACAATTCTTTGAGGCCAGCAATTTCTTCTTCAGAAAGACTCTCAGCAATAACCTGTAGAAAAAAAAAGAGGTTATTATGCTAAAGACTGATATGATTAACAGAATGAGCCTATGAAAACTGAAGATAAAGCACGTGTGCATTAATTGGTGTTAAGTCTAACAAAGAGACCTCAGTAGAAAGACGAAGTGAATATAAAAATGGTAGCAGTATTTCAAAGAATGTAGATTTAAAGAGCAGTACAGCTGGGTGTACATTGGTCACAAATAATACACAAGAAATTAGGTAAAACTGCTGTCTATTTTCAATATGGAAAAGCAATCATTTATCTGAGGAATGGAATTGATTGCCTTTTCCATTTTGGCACTAAGAAAGACAATTTTGTTCCGGACAAATTGTTGGCCATATTATGGACTTTATGGTCTATTTGCAGTAATGCCTCGTTCTCAAGTCAGAGATAAATTATATGAAAATAGATGAATTTTGGTTACAAAAGAAATATTTATATGGGAATTTGTAAAACTGTGAATGCACCGATGTTGTAGCATGTCCAGGTGACAAATGAATAGTAGCCATCTGAGACTTTACTCATCAAAATGGGTGTGCTGGAAATCATTTATATTTATGATTTACTACATTTTCATATTAAAATAAAATACTGGCCCTGTAGCATAATGAGGGAAGACTGAAAAACAAAGGGCTAGTTGTGAATTCTCCATTTAATAGAATTATCAAATTTCCAGAAGTCTTTTCCAAGCACAGTTCTTTTTCTTTTTAAATTTCACATTTTATTCGACTAAAAGTTTCAATTTATAAAAGTCAAGAAATACATGAAACCATCATCTTCGACATTAAAGCATTTGCAAATGATCTTAATTGGTGCCCTTAGTTAGAACAGCTTTTGTAGATTATTGACTGTTGATAATTGAATTTTCTAAACCTCTCAACTAAATCAATATATTTCGAAATCTTACTCTGAGGGCCATCTTTTTGAGTTTGTTCATTGCAGAAAACTGCTTTAAGCGAGATAGGACTGCAGAATCGAGCGGCTTATCAGGAGCCATGCCACCAACTTCAAGCCAAGGATGGCCTGCAGAGAACCAAATGACATGGTGAACCTTGATAGCTCCTGAGCATTTCCTAAAGAAAATAAGATGAGTTAAACAATAACTCACACAGAACTTCATGAGCTGTCAATCTCTTTCTAGGGTCTCTGACAAGCATCCTCTTTACTAAATCTTTGGCACTTTCAGAGATGCTAGGCCATGGATCTGTCTCAAAATCGAGCCTTCCACGTAAGACCTGTTCGAATATAGCGTGCTCAGTTTCTGCAATTTATCGAAATAAAAGAGAGCAGTTGTCAATTAAAGAAATCAAAGTAAAACATCCACTAAATGAACAGTTGATTGCCAATTGAACCCCTGTGCTAACGCCCAATTGCGGATAGAACCCTGCAGTTCTATTGCTGCATATAGACCCCCTGTGCCATTGCCCAATTGCAGATAAACCGCCTAAGCGATTTGTTTCGACTCTTTCACCTTCAGGAGGTCTATTTATCAAAAAGCAATTTCTCTTTCTCTGAGGGAAAAAGAGTCAAAAAATTCACTCAGGGGTCTATCTGCAACAAGAGAACATAGTACAGGGAACTCCTTAAATGAAAGAGAAACAAAAGCCAAATTACAAACCTCCCCAAAATGGGGGCACCCCACTCAGCAGGATGTAGATAATTACCCCGGCACTCCAAACATCAGCTTCTGGGCCATAATTTTTTTTCAGAACTTCTGGTGCAACATAATAGGGGCTCCCAACAATATCTGTGAATTTGTCTCCTGAAACAGAAAAGCTGTCAATACAAGATCAGACATAATAGAAATTTTATGTTGTTTACATCATTTAGATAAGTATCATCATCTGAAAGTGCAGACGTCTAGTTTCTATGCATATTATGCATACATCCAAATATTTGCACATATCATGCATGTATCAGCTTTCAAGAACATTATGATCCGGGAAAGGTAAGAATAAGTAACTTTTGTAATATAAATAAGATAGATACTGAACGATTATCGCATTTGATCGCAAAGAAACTTGTCCCTCGTTTTCAATTTTTCAGTATTTGATCCTATGAAATTGCCTTGTCAAA